TTTCTTGCTCTTTCCTGGCTGCTAGTTCAGTGAGTTTGTTTGTACAATGATGAGACTTATACCAATGGAATCTGTGGAATCTCAGCTTTCATGTGATATGTTTGTGCAGATAAAAGATCACTTTTGCCAGTTATGTGCTAAAGTAGCCGTTAGCCCAGTTAGCTCGTTTTGCTAACTGTTGATTTAGACTCTTGGTGTTGGACTTCTGTTCCGTGTAGGTCAAATGGTTAATATCGTCTGTTAGCTGAGTGTCTTCCCGTTAAGTGGGTATGCATCATTAATAGGTTGTTAAATGTTAAGAAGCCTTGAGACGCTGTTTCTAGCAAGATGTTGCTTCTGCCCGTTTAAAAACCAAACCGTATACGTCACATGGGATGAGGGTTCCCAACCAACCATAATTGTTTAAACTAAGGAAGTAGCGTAATTCATATACCGATAGCAGCACCGTTTGCCCAGCGGCTTAATGGTACCCTGCTGAAAAAAAAACAGCATAGACCAGCTTAAGATGGTTGCTGGTTTAAGCTGGTTTTAGCTGGTGTTAGGCTGGTTTAGTTGGTTTACCAGGCTGGACAAGCTATAGTATAGTGCTATGCTGGTCTATGCTTTGTTTTTTAGCTGGCCAGGATAGCCGGTTTAGCTAAAGTGTCCAAAACCCCTCTAAACTAGCCAACCTATCTACTGGCTGGTCAGGCTGGTCAACTTAGCTGGTCTAAGCTGTTTTTTTCAGCAGGGCCAATACCGTCCAATCAGGTACCGGTACTGACTTAGTACCGGTTCTCGATACCCATCCCTAGCGTTAGCTTATGTTCACTAGCTACACTTGATCAAATCTATCAACCACAGCTGTCAAAATACAAGGTCAACTGTCAAAAATAGGAAGCCTGCTTTTGGCTTTTCCTTTTGTGGAAAAATAAATACCAATTAGTTTAAAAAGGAACACAAATTACAAGAAGTAAGATTGTACAGTCAGTTCTGTCAATTATTTTGACTTTAAAAATTCCTGAGCCACAGGAAATTAGTTGAATGAGTTAAAATGTTCATGTTTGAGTGAGCTAACGTTTGACATAATGTCTTGGTGAATCAACTACTGATTAAATGGGCTTTTGGTTTTGCACTTCAAGGAACAGACTTCTATCCTAATGCACCAAATCAATTTTAACGCCAAGAAAACCATTTCCAGTTAGAAACCCCATGCACACACACACACACACTGTGCCCCAAAGCAATTTAGGCAATTTAATAAAATAAGCCCTGCAAAGCACAGGAAGCTGTTAGTTGGACTACTGAGGCCCAGTTGACCGTGCTGACGCTGAGGTGACGTCGAGGTAAGGCAGCGCTCTAAAGGTTAACGACCGTTCTCAAGCCAATAATGGCTGCGGAGAGCAAACATCACGGCTACTTCATTCGATTTGCACTGATGAGTTATATAAGGCAGGTCGAGGGACTGTTTGTTCTTTCTCTCAATCACCACATAGGGGGTTTCAATGATCTTAACCAAAGTGGTCCAGTGGGGGGAGACGTACTAAGAGTTTGTTCATATTTGCATGTAGATGTCTGGAGGTAGCATGTGTGTGTGAGGGGGAACAGTCAGGGGTTAATTTAAAAACTCTCTGTCCTTGTTTCCAGATTGGAAAATTCTTGACTCTTTGTCAATTTGGCTTCATAATCACATTGAGCAGAGCTGCAGAGAACGTGGACCCTGGACCGGGTCAGTATTAGGTAACTGAAATGTAGGCTTTGTGTGTTTAGTCTATAGTTTCCCTCCAGGCAGTCAGAGTTGAGCAATGGTGTCAGAAAATGGTTCCATGATCCTGAGTTCTTTGTTTCTGATTTCAAACACCCAATTTCCTCACTCTTTGCAGAAAGTCCTCTGAGCCCCATGTTGCAGGATCTGTTGGCTACAATAAAAATGATTTGATTTGCATGTTCACTTCTTACACTTAATTAAATCAAAAACGCAACTGAATGTGGACTCCAGACTACAGCTGTCATACATTCAAAACCTTCGACTGGTTTGACCTTCAACTATCAAGACTGGTAACTATGAACATCTGCAAACAAACGACTTCTGGTTTTACTTTCAGTAGAGTCAACTGTTCCAAAAATATGGACTGATCAGCAAGCATTTCTCTTCCTCATTACTGTCCTCTAACTCAGGGGTTCCCGAGTGGGGGTCGCGAGATGATTACAAAATAAAAAAGGAAAAAAAATAAAAATAATTGATACTTTTTTTTGTTGTTGTTGTAATTCTTATTAATAATAACGAAGCTACCCTTTGACAATCCACTAGCGCAGTGTTTCTCAAACTTTTTCATACCAAGGACCACTTAACCAATAAAAAACACTCATGGACAATCGCCCCCTCCCCGTCCCCCCGTCGACAGGGGGTCGCCAGTCTCTGGCACTGTTATTTTGGGGGTCGCGGGCTGAAAAGTTTGGGAACCCCTGAGAGGCTAGGGCCCCAATCAGAAAGAGAACATTTTGAGGGTTGAAAGCGTAAGGCAATGAGCAGTGATTCCCTGATAACACAGAAAATGTTGGTTTTAAAATATATTAGGGCCACCAGTAAATCTTCTTGGACAATGCAAATTATGTCTTGTTTTTTTTGTTAAACTTAAGATGCTCAGGGCTGTCTTGTAAAAGCACATGAAGAAAGCTTCATTGGTTACACTTAAGGAATGATTTGAAACAGTAAACAGATGTAAAAGAAGAAATATTGAAACGTAGTAACATACTACAATAACTTTACATGTAGGAGTTCAGTGTGGGGAGTTTGGCTGCTCTCCACAGAGCTGGGCTGTAGCGTAATTGGGCGGACGCCATGAATAATATACTAATGGTGCGTACTAATAACACTAGCACAAAACTAAATAAAGTAGAGCAGCAGTCTGATGAAAACTACTTAGAGTGTCGGTCCGAACTGGCAACCTTTAGTTTGACTTAAATAACAAAATGTACAGCCTTAGTATTTTATGACTGGGGACCTTTTCTTTGTTTCATTGCAAAGTGTCACCATTTTCCCAAAAGAGTGGAGGATTTATTTTAAAAAGCAGCCTTCTTTGTCTAAAATGGCTTAATTGGACCCAATTCAAGCAGTCTAGTCAGATTAGGGCTTAACTGGTAAAGCCTTAGACATCGCCACTCCTCTGAGAACAACTTGACCCCTCTGCAGGAGTCTTTAGTGGATTCTCACCCTGCTGTCACTGTCAGATCTTGAACTGACCCCCAGATCACTTCCTGACCTCCTCTCATCCCATAATCCTCCTCCACTTCATCCGTCGGACGTCAGCACAGCTCGGGATGCAACACACACCCACATAAAAATGCACTAAAACCACATGCAGCCACGTAAACAAACACTGTTATACCCCAACAGACGTACACTCGCACATAGGCGGCCTCCATGCGAGAAGTGGCTCGTTAGTAGACGGTAATCAGCTTAGTGCTCTCCAACGCCCACCGGCGCTAAGCTCTTTATAGACAAACCCAGTTAGAAAAGTAGCAGCTGAGCGACGACTTGGCCCCGTATCCGATGAGACTCTCACAGTCAGACGCACACAGATCATAGTGGAGACACGGGGAGAAAAACTGTGGCGGTGTTGACATCAATACAATCACCTGAGACCCGGCCGAGATGTGTGTGTGTGTGTGTGTGTGCGTGTGTGTAATTTATATGGGTGAAGAATAGAGAAGAAAAGAAACTAACAGAGAAGAATGGCACACAAAAAAACTCAAATAAAGCAAAAAGAGAAGCTCAAATGTGTTCCAGGGAGAGTGTGAGCAAGGAGGAGGAGGGAAAAAACGGGCGAAATAAGGAGTGTGAGTGTGTGTGTGTGTGTGTGTGTGTGTGTGTGTGTGTGTGTATGCGTAATCATCTGTGTGTGTGTGTGTGTGTGTGTGCACACCTGTATACTCTTCTGTTTGTCATACATGTATACATACGCGAGCATGCACACTGTACAGTATAGGCATTTGCCCTTTCATGTGTGATCTCTCTACTTTCCATCAACAAACAGAGACTCCTGGACTCCAAACAGCTCCGTGTCTGTCTGCTCAACTGTCAAAGAGGCGGCACTCAGAAAACCTGTAAACATAGTTAAGAGATGTATGCTGCCTTGGTACTGTATATACTGTCTGTGTACTGTGCCAGATAATATCAGTACAGTGCACTTGAGGAGCCAGGGTAATGAAGAGGGTGAGAGAGAGAGGCATGTTTGGGCTTTTATGGAAAAGAAGGTGAAATCTGAAATATGTAATGCTGACTGTATTTGAGAAAATTACTTGCACACTGTTGCAAATATACTGAATATTTCAGACCATATTCACACTGACAACAGTCTTATAGAAGTTTAAGGAGAGATTTGGTGAGTCCCTAACTGTGGCTTTAAGATGTTATGACACCCTCACTCAATCAAGACACTCTGCACTGCTGTTTTAGTCATTCAGAAATCACATTAAAACCAGACACCATAATTGCATAACAGTCTACAGTATGTTAGGTATGGTACCCTTTCAAATATAAAAAAATCATTCTTAATAAGCACTGAGAGCAACCGAATGCAACAAATAATGAAGGCTTTTTAACGCCTTTTTTAAAAGTTGATTGGGTTATTATCACTTTTTTATGCTGTGTCCAAAATCGCTTACTTTATACACAATACGTGTACTTTGTTTGACATACTTCAAATCTACAGTTTTCGGAAGCTGAGCTGTCACTTCCTGCAAACACCTGATAGCAAGAATGATAGAAAATGCAAACCTGTTGTGCATCTCGAAGGCATCCTCGTTGCCATATTGCATTGTGGGATATGTAAGCCACTGTAACATCAGGTGTTTGATTATTGTTATATTTTACTGGAAATAGTATGTACTTGATGTACGTTTGAGGTCTTATTAGGCTTTTTGTATACAAAAAAAAATCACACACTGTTTTAGAGAACTAAATAGTTGGACTCACCACTCGTTCTACACTTTACTTGTAACACATTAAGTTAACTTACAAATCCACCAGCCATGATCTCAGCTGCCAGCGGGACGGTGCCGTCTTTCAGTCGAGTCTTTCCTCGCACAAAGTCATTCACCTAAAAACACAAAGGTCAGGCAAGAGATTTTCAAAACGGGTATGGTGGAACATGGTATAAATGTACAGTCGATATACATTGTGTTAATGAGAACCTGGAAATGCAGAAAAATGACTGAATAAAATCAAGTTGCACTTTACAATACAGTTCATCTTTTGCTCTTTTTTTCTTTTCATTTTCCATTTGTCTGTGTGTATGTGTAGTATCCATAGCATCATGTAAGTTAAGAGCAATGAAAGCACCTCATGGATATCTCTGTGTGTAAGTGTGCATTTGTGTGTCTGTGTACTTTCGCAGTGACTTACTGTGAGCTTTATGGCTTTCTCGGGCGCCACACCCAGTAGCTGTGGTACGAGACCTATCATTAGAAAACGAGGAGATGATTAGAAAAAAAGAGTGCTGTGGTACCCCCACTCACTCGCACACATACGTATACATATGCCACTTCCACACACTCCACATGATGTGTGGCTTCCCGCTGCATGCGTCCGACCCTGCAAGATCCTGCAGACGCTAATGAAATCTATTGATGTGGAGTGTGGGGACATCAGAGTAGCAACAAGAGAGAGAGGAAGAAGGGGGGGAAAGAGAGGAGGAAGAGAGAGAAACTGCTTCCCAGAATAGGAAAAAAGGGCAGAGTATAAAACAAACCGACCAAAAGTTTACGCAGACCTCAATTACAACCCAGAGCAGGGTAAAAATAAACAAAATAATCACAACGGAGCACAATGAAACTTGGCCCCCTACCCAGCCCAAAGGCAATGAGCACACACACACACACACACACACACACACACACACACACACACACACACACACACACACACACACACACACNGGGGGCTGTAATTAGGGGCAGTTCATAAATCCATGTAAACATGACCATTATTCAGTTAAAACGAGACGCTGCGTTATAATTGTAATGATGGATTATCAGTAATCATTTTAAAGTTACACAGAGACATTGGATTAACTGTTTTTATGCCCTTAAACACATTTTTTGATCACAAAACAGCAAAGGTAAGACATAACTATCATCATGGCTACGTAAAGTGAAGATGTTTTATTGCTCTTTCCTGGCTGCTGGTTCAGTGAGTTTTGGTCGTACAGTGATGAGACTTACACCAATGGAATCAGCTTTCTTGTGATATGTTGTTTGTGCAGATAAAATGACGTAGAAAATATCGCTTTTGCCAGTTATGTGCTAAAGTAGCCGTTAGCCCTGTTAGCCCCCTTTTGCTAAGTGTTGATTTAGACTCTTGATGTTGGACTTTGGTTCTGTGTAGCTCAAATGGTTAATATCGTCTGTT